TACTAAGTACTTGTACTGCGTATTTGACTTTCATTTTTGAAAAATTATTCGGATCTATGTGACACGGAGATAATTTAGGAGCTGCTTTGATATATTGTTCCTTATCTTTTAAATAAAATTGTCTAATGTATGACCATGACGCAAACTTATTATTAAATTTTAAAATATGTTTGTACAAGTTATTACGCGTAGCTTTTATTAAATGCGGAGTATCAAAAATATACAATATTTTCTGTTCACCGACTACAAATGTTGAATTTTTTGTTGAAATATGTAATTCGCGAGAAAGTTTTAGAAAATTAGAACCCATATCCGTAACTAACGCATGCACAATAGCACCACTATTTTGTAATTTAGTAATACACTCAAACACAATTTGTTTTAATATATTACTTGCACAAGTAGTCTCTGCAAAACAATAGCAAAGTGGAACTTTCCAGTTACCTGCAATACTGCGTGCCATTAAAACGAAGGCATTTTGTGCAGGTATTGCAGATTTATAAATTCCTACATCTTCAAATCCTATAATTTCATCTCGCGAAATATCATAAAATAAGTGAGATTTTAAACTCATTTCATCCGCGCATAATATACAATGTCGTTGGATAAATGGTAATAACTGTAATTTAATTTTAAATGCTTCGAACACTTTTTCATTAATACCGGGCACTATGTTCCACTTATAAGTAAATAATTGTAATGTACGTACAGTGGGCAAAGTAAATCTTGTTTCCAATTCTTTATAGGTTCGCGGACTCAAGAAATATATTGATAATGCAAACTTTTTGAATTCATTATCATATCGCATACCACGTTTACTCTTTTTCTGCGCGTCTACTTGTGCTGATAACAATATATTAAATTTTTCCGGTAAATACTTTTTTCCTAAGGTTTTTAATAATACTAATTCTTTAGTTTCTACCTTTGATGTTTGTTGCTCTTTTGTTGTGGCTAAGATCTTCTTTTCTCTTCTTTGAAGTCGTCGAACTTTTTGTTGTAATAGTTTTGTTTTTGCTTTCAAGGTTTTAATAGTTCTATATAAGTCTTCTTTAGTAGGACTTTTTTTCCTCTTCGGTGCTGTTGTTATATTGGATGTGCTTCTAGATACAATAATATACATAATTATAGGCTGATCAAATATTAAAAACGAAAAAAGAATAAAAAAAAGAATAAAAGAAAGCGTATAGAGTTAAAGTTTTAAATATATATAAATATATGTATACATATATTGGCTGCGTTCAGCAGAACTCAGCGCTTAGCAAGCGCTTTGCTATTATTGCTTGCCATTGGCTTGTACTCTTATAGTTTCAAAAGATGTACAAGAAAAGACCAATCACAGACAATAAGCGCAAAGCGCTTGCCAAGCGCTGTGTTCTGCTGAACGCAGCCATTTTATGCACAAATATATTTTTTCTTTTTTATATACTCCATATACATATATTTTCTAAAAAATAAAATAAATATATTTCTAAAGTAGAAAAATATATGTAGTACATATAACTTACGGTTGAGCTATTTCCATGTTAACATCCATATCACTTGACAGCACTGCTTGCGATGATTGTAAATTGCTAAAAAATATTTTACTTATAATTTTGAAATATTATTTTGATAAAAAAGTTTATTTATTCTTCCGTTGTAACGTGTATACCGTAAAAATCTACATTTTGCATACTTGAACAAATGTAATCTAATTTAGAGCGCTGGCTGTATCCACATTGTCCAATCGCATTGGTCATGTCTGGCAAACCGACCAGTGTGATAGAACATCACAAGCCCGACTTACGATCACGATCATCGCGAAAGCCAAATAGAACTTAATCAATATTAGAAAATGTTTAAATACACATACTCATGTAATTTTTCTGTTGTGTCCATACTTATTTTCTCTTGTATACTTTCTTCATCTATGTTCATATTTTCCATTTTTTCTGTTTCTTTTTCTTGTCCTTGATCGTACATTTGGTCTTGTATGTTCTTATGAGCTGTCCTAATTTTTTCTTTTTTTTCTGCTGTTGTCATTTGTCTGCAAAAAATTTGAATTATTCTTTAATTATCCTTTTATTTAATACATATTAATAAAATATATAACATAATGAGACTTCTAAAAAAAGATAAATTTTAATAAATAATAATCTAAATATATATATATATATATATATATATATATATATAGAATTTAATTTCAAACTCACATTTGTTTTAAAGATATTTCCACATCTTTTCCAAATTTTGTGGGTATGGCATCTGGATGAAGAAGAACTTTAACTTTACTTCTTTTTATCCATTTCTCCTCAAAATGTAAAGAGCACAAACGTATATTTCTATAAGAATATTGGGAACCCTTTACTTCTAAATCTAATCTTCCACTTGCTTTAACCCACTGCAACCATCTATATATTAAAAATATAAAGCATTAAAAATATAATACATTAAAAATGTACTACATTAATATATTAATAATATAATATAGTAAGAAAAACTAAATATATGTGTAAAAGATATATTATAAATAAAAATATAATATAAAATATAGTTAAACCTGTGATGCTCTTTAGGAAATCTGAATACATGTATTCCTTCCAGCAACTTTCCGGGACATCCACTAATTGCACACTGGTTATTTTGTTGTCGATTCATTTTCTGTTTTCTTGTTCGTTTACTCCTTGCAGAAATACCTGAAACAAGCTAAGATCAAAGTGCTTTCTGCAAGAGAATTGAAAATCGGTACAATATTTATGTACAGATTAACTATTCTCTTCAAATTTTATAATTAAATCACTTCACTTCACTTCACTTCACTTTGCTACACTTTATTTCACTTTGTTTTCTCGAATAACGTAATATTTCACGAATACTCAAGGTAAATGCCGCCACTTTCTGTTACGATTGTGCTATTAGCTATATGCAGGCATTTAAACAAANCAGAGAAAGAGAGCAAAACAGAAAGATAAACTGAGAGAGAAGTTCAGATGGCGTTACCGTATGAACTAGCCAACGTCGCGCGTGCGCGTTATTGCTGGCTTCACGAAATCGGGAGACTTTCGCTACTGTATATACTGTGACCTAACCTTGTCATCCGGCACCCCGAGGGCATCCAAGGAGACCGAGGTGACAGTACAAACAGGACGAAGATGCAGGCGGAATTTGAAGCGGCGCAAAAGATTTAGGAACCATAAATAAACACAGTTTATTTTATTTTTTATTTTTTATTTTTATTAGTTTTTTAGGCCTAGCGTGTGGTCAAATGATTTAGTTTAGTTTGTTTTATAAGATTAGCCGCAAATATTTGATTAACAAGTATATTAAGTACCTACGCGTTGTTAAGCAGCGGTTTGGTATATAGTAGCGTGATAGTTAAATTTTTAACGTTTACTTATCTTTTCTTAGTATAGTTTACTCATTTATGTTATTTATTTACCTGTCTTAAGATATTTTTTGTTTAGTGTTAAGTTCTACAAATAGGATACTTACCTGAAGCGATTCCGTAGGCACACTCGTACTGCGCAAGGAAAGTTTTATGTTAATGAGTTATTTTATGTTTAGAAGGAGGATGGACACATTTTTGACACACACGTTTTTAACATACAGAACACGCCATACAACACACAAACACATACCCTCTCTTGTACACACAGTAAACACTCTTAACACAGTCATCCAGTACCAGCACATGTAAAATAACAACACTCATTAAGGTGGACTCACACGTAATTTCACACACACCCACATAGACAACACACTCACCACATATCGTTCATTAAGGGGCATTTTGAATTTACACTACACGTACACAACAACATAACACTTAAGGGTTAAAAACTACCATAGAACATTCACACACACAAGTATTCTTTAAACATACAAACGAACACCCTTAAGAAACACATACATGTTACACGTATACAAACATACATAAACACTAACATACTTAATAAGGACTCATACATATACTATACACACCGACAACACCCATAATGTTTACACACACATACACACACGTTAAGTCACACTTTTGCGTCTTGTTGCGTAATACTGACGATTACATACCTGCCATCTCCGCCTCTCCGTTTCTCTTATTGAATATCTATGTAGCGTATCTTTTCTTATCCATATTTTTTATGATCTAAAATAGATAATGATTTTTTTAGGTATGGTTTTATTAAAACACTGAAGAAACTCCCATAGTGGATCGAAACGTTTGTTAAAACTTTTTAAAAACTTCAAATTATAGTAAAATTGTACCCAAACATCTGGTGTTAGGTTTTTTTATTGCTATTTTTTTATCTCCTTTTCTTTCACTATTCAACAAGCTTAAAACATATAATTAAAATGTTTATCAGACACGTGCATAAATTCTGACATGATAAGTACTCAAAAATGATTATCAATAACAATTTTACTTTTATCGTAAGGGTATAATAAAATTATTATTCTAATATATAAAAATTATATTTCTACTATTTAACCGAAGTATTATAATGTATATGTAAAATATTTAAAATAGCTCGGATTCTGGCCTTCTTTTGCAGCCGCGTCAAGTTGTTTTGTACTAAATATTTTTTATTTAAAAACTGTTTTTTGTTACACTTCTGTGTCTTAGAAGATATGTTTGTAAATAATTACAAAAAATAAGTTTTAAGGGGTTACTTTTTAGTTTCACTAATAAATCGTTTTTATCTTTAACACCAAGTACTTCGGCTATAAAACGTGATCTATAGAGTCTACATACATTTTTGATTGTAAAGACACTTAGGTTTTGAATTTTAACCTTTAGAGCGCCGGAAAACGCCTAGAGGCGTAAAAAAATGAAATTTTTTTATACTCATTTTTTTAAATCTAAATTGCTTATAAATTCATGTGTAAAGGTTATCGATCTCTCCTAATATGATTCTGCATCCAAAAAAATTATATTCAAAATGGCGGATGCAATATGGTTAAGTTTTTGAGATATTTCCAGTTTCGATGTGAATTCCATTTGAAAATTATGTATAAGAGTTTTAGAAGTCACTAGTTAGAGATAACAATTATGAATATACATATCTGTAAAAAATATATACCTTAATTCAAATATTTTTATTGCTTTTGTACTTTTTTGGGTGCAAAGAAAATACTCTCTACTGCTAATTGGCATGTTTGGAGAAATAATCGAAGGATGATCTTGACAAATAAGAGAGTTATGATATAAAAGTATTGTTACAGTACCAATAAATTGTAATAATTGATCGTGTCCAAACAGTATCACAATAACACAGGTTTTAGGTTCAACTTGTTACTGCAGCGAATCTAATTATATAAATCATTGATCTACTTTAGATGTGGATATGGATTTCGGGGTTCTCGCCACCTAGCGGTGATTTATGCTACTATTAGATAAATATTGTAAAATACGTTGATAAATGCTTAGCCAAACGGAAAAAATTTTTTAGAAAAAAGAAAAAAAGAAACTCAAATGTCGGTTGATGGCGCCCTCTATAATGTTTTCCAATCGATAATGATACAA